CGCATTTGCTAAAAGTAATATTAGCTCAGGAAGCTGCTCGAAGAAATTCGGACAATGTAGACAGTTACAAAACTTTCAGGGCAAGCTTACCTACATACAATTTACCAAGAAATACCAAAACCGCAATGGCCGCACAACCGCCTGTGATTCCGCCAAGTTTGCTTGTCCTCAGCAATTTGTGAGTCCTGAAAAAAGGTCTAGTGGAAAGTGAAAAAAAAATAAAAAGAGGTAGGAAAGAAGCCGCAAAAAGTCTATTTATCTTCACTAACTACGCATTTTCACCTACATGTACAGCCCACGCTAGTCGTGTGGGCGGAGTCGGGGCTACTGTGGAAGTCCTCACCGGCGTCTTCCTAGCTTTTAGCGCGTCAAAAATAAATAAAGGCTTAATGGCTGGGTGTTCCCGCCCATAGCATAAGTATGGGGTGCACCTCCAAGTAGAAAATGCCAATATTCGAGTGCAAAACTCGAAGGGCGAGGTGAACTTCAATCTCAGACATCGTGCAGGTAGAAGACGAAGCTGCCCGCCCATATGTGTAGCTACTCCGCCGCCTCCTAGGGTGGAGAAGGAGGGGAAAGGTAACGAAAAAAGCACATTTGAATGGTTTCTTTGATGTGAATAAGCTCTTTGAGGTGTATTCAGTGGGAATAAAAATAATAACAGCCAAAAATTCACAAAAATATCCACAAACCATATCAACAAACGCCGCCTCTAGGGCACCAACAACCAGCTCATCACATCGAATTGACACCGAATCCATCTATAAAACAAAAAAGGATTGCCATGGAGTCTTCCACAGCAAGTAGATTACTGTACCTTACTGATACTGTAGGATGAGTCTGACCGTGCTCTGCTGGACAAAAGGGTTTCGTTTTTATCCAGTTGAATGATCGACTCCAGTACTACGCCTAATCGAGACTGAAAACACGAGAAAGATTTAGGATATCTGAAAGGTCCACCCCCCCCCCGCCCCACCCTCCCCACACCACATCCGATGCTGCCCCTACATGGGCGTGGTGAAACACTGCCTTTTCGGTTGGGTAGCCCCTTAGGCCAAATAGCATACAAATAGCCGCGCTCCCGGTTTTATGGATGAGAATGTTATGGTTCTCTGCATCGTGGTTGCTGAAGGTATTAATCGATCCACGAATGAAGTGGCCACTAAAAATAGACAGTTGTTGAGATCTTTGAAGGGTGTGCTAGTAATCGTGGGACATCAAACATCATCAGCAGACCTTGGCCTAAGCCCGCGTGCTTAGTCAGTTGTCTTATTTTGAGCGTATTTCACAGCTGTTGTTGTTGATGTGAACAACCACATCAGAAAGCATATATAAAGCGATCTGAACCGTCTGGCCAGAACCACAATCTGAACTATTCATGAAAGCCATGATTTCTTCCTATATCAAAAAATCTTTTTTCTGTTTCTTTGCGTTGGAGTTCTGTTGACAGGAACAACTACGCAAGCAAGACCAGGTATTGGCTGACTTTTATAAAGCATTATTATTTATTGGACATCAAGTGTTATTCTCAGATTTATCAAAAAAGTGTGTTTCAGCCGATAAAGCCACGAAAGCCGGCGACACTGTTCGCGGAGCTGGAAAAGCTGCCTGTGAGTGTTTTGCTTTTTGCGTATTGTTTCATGATGCCAACAATAAAACTGCTACAAAAAAACGAGATCCTCAAACTAGCAGTTTTCTCCTTATAGGGTTTCTTTGAGACTTTTGCAAACTCCTGGGACGTCGAACCGAGTAGAAGTACTTATTCATGATCACTGAGTAAAGACAGAGATCCTTGTGAAACCGGGACTCGCCTGCATACTAAATCTGCTTGTGAAGCTTTATCAACTGTTTCTCCGTTCGAGTAGGTGGAAGCATTGAAATGAATAATGGCCTGCAAAACTTTCCGCGCCACTCGTTTCACCCCCCCCCCCAACTCTTCCTCCTCATAGTTCCCCTATAGGCACTCATCCACCACAGAAGGAACAAGCAGCATGGTCAACTTTCACATGTTCTAGTCCATATGTATCATGGTTTTGGTGGTATCTCCCATGGTAACTCTTCGGGGCAAGAAATCGTTGTTCATATTGTATTGGAAGGTGCGTCTGGCTTCCTGAGAAAAGTCTTCATTAATGACTATGACTGTACGAATTTTGAGCCATATTTGAGAGAGCCGCGGGGTCCTATATGACCTAGGTAGCGACCTGGGAAGGATATGCTATGCTCTATTGGTTCACTGACCTACATACTTACTACTTCCCTTCGTTGTTTCAACCGACTACATACTTACATACTTCCCCTTTATTGAAAATATTCTTCCGGAGAAAAGTGGAAAATGAGCGCTTAGGTACGTACACAAAAGCCTTCCATCTTCTCGTGCTGTCAATTTTGGGACCTGTTTCGGAGCCTGCCTTAGCCTTAGGATAAAGCCTCGTCCTGGGACGAAACTGCAGTCCTTCCAGCTTCTAGTTTCTATTCTACGACTTCAAATTGAGCGAGAGCTCCCCATATTGCTTTCAAAATCCAGCTCTTAATAGTTGTTAAGATTTTTGGTTACTCACGAGTCTTGTCTTGGCGATCTTTGATGCCGCCTCGGATAAGTTCCTGTTTTGATCGTTACGTTTCAGCGGATGCAGCTGGGCGCGCGGTGGACGAAGCGGGCGCTGCCGCTGAAGGAGCACGTGAACGGTTAGGTGAGTTTTAGGGACAAGAATGTCGATTCACCACCGCTCAGGGCAAATGAGCTGCATGAGCAGCGAGCATGGCAGGCCGTATGAGAGCGTAGCAGCTCGTCGTACTACTTTCTGTCATCAGCAATACTGTCATCAGCAGCTACTGATCTTATCTCTGGTGGTATGAAGGTCGACTTCAGCAAGTTGTACCGTCTAGCATACCCCTACATATGCTCGAGCCAGTACGCCTGCTTTTCAAGCCTCACTTTCCTCTGAGCGGTGGTTACAAGGGTGATTGAGCGAATTCAGAAAAGTGTATACTGAATCTTGTTCTACCGGCACTGG